AGAACTCCAAAGAATCCACCAGAAAAAAAACCCTGAAACTAACAAGCGAATACAACAAGTTAATAGGATACAAAGCATACAGGTCCTGTACATATTTAGTTAAAAATACACCTAAGTAGTACAGCACCACCAAACCAGCTTTACAACAAATGCTAAAGGAACTTATCTAGGCAAGAAACACAAGAGAAGGAAAGGACCTACAATAACAAACCCAAAACAATTAACAATTAACTGATTCATTTTGTTGTAAAGCAGAAACTAACACACCATTGTAAAGCAATTATACTCCAATAAAGATGTTAAAAAAAAAAAAAAAAGAATGAGCTAGCAGAAAAATATAAAATCAGCTGAGGTTAAATTTTGAAGAGTGAAGAAAGAAAGTTATCAGAACTCAAAGTGGTTTCCTGCTTGTGGACCACTGGAGTTGCCACTTTTTCTCTGTTTTCTAAACTTGTTCCATCAGTGTCCTGGAACTGCTATGAGCCACCCATATCACTCATATAAATTAACTGTTTTTTCTATAACATAGTCAGCATCTGCTTCTAATGCTTAAAACCAGTACCCTCAACTTTTACAGACACAAACCCAAATATAACAGGCTTCTTATTGTGCCGTTTTCTGGGTATTGCTTAAATACTTGTAATCTGGCACCTCGTATCCTTTTATACTGGGAACTTTTCTCGAATTGACTCCAGGATGTACTGTCCTCTCTCTGCTTTTTTCTGGATGAAGAGAGACATCAGGATGACAGCTATGCAGAAAAAATCACTGTTTATCAGCCCAAGTCAATGTTCTAGGGTAATTTTTTAGGAGGAGGAGATTGACTAAATATCTATTGCATGTCAGAGGATCTGGAAAGATCCCTTAGACCATTGGTGAAGAGTCTGAGATAAATTTATGGTAAATACAAAAATAGTAAACTACAAAAAGAGACAATTATTAACTCTAGGTAGGAAAAAAAGTTATGTAGGAGAGAATGCATAATCATTTTTACCATGGGATTCAACTAAGAAGAGTATTGGCAAGATCATTAAAAATAAATACCAAATATTGAAATAATCAAAATTTTAATATAAATATTTTGGAAGGATGGGTACATGGGAAAGGTATACATGTGTGGTGAGTTCGTGGAGAGCAAGACAACTAAATCAATAAAGAATGTCTAAAATTTTAAAAAATCTAGTAATGATATATGTATGCTATTCAGAAAAGTAGAAAAAATAATCAGAAGTGAAATTTGTTGTCTCAATGGAGGGAAAATGCGAAGGACAGGGTATTATTTTTTTGCAAAAAAGAAACAAACAAAAAACCCTTGAACAGCACACTTTGACTCTTTGAACTACATGCACTTATAATATGAACTGAATGTTGCATTGAGATAGAAGCTACAAAGTATCACTGGTTTGATTTTTTTCTGCATTTAACTCTTCGTGTTAATATTATTCTGTAGGAATTTTCCCCTAATATTCTTTGATAACAAGTGAAACTAACAATCGTGGAGCTCTACATTTTATTCATTCAAACAACAGAATACAGTATATCAAGGTAAACATTTGCATGCCTTACAAAACCCAAGTCTGAAATTACATATAAAGCCGGAAATAAATGTTCTAAAGAGGGTGACTATGTTACTTATCATTCAAACAGGGACAATAGGCAATAAATGGGGATTATTCCAGACATTTATCACCCATACCCCCAAATTAGATCTTTTCTTACAACACCTTACAACATAGTGCTTTAAATCTCGAAAAACATAATATGTAATCCAACCTTGAAGACTTGTAAAATTTTTTAAGAAAGCATTGCAGTTAATCCTAGAAGCCATAGTTCTACCTATCGGATCACTAGCAATAGAAAAGTTTAAAAAAATGCTTATTTTTACTTCATAAATGTATAAGAGCCTAGAGACTTGACTTAGAATAATCCAATGAACAGACCAGTGGAAAAGTGTATTAATTTATGCAAAAACCTGCACGTGAAGGTCAATACTTTCTAGACACTACATTCTAATAGTGGCCTAACTAATGATGAGAATAAAATAATGGTATTACATGTTTCTACTGTTTTATATTTTTCAAAGATATTTTCTTAACTCTACTGTGGAAAGAAGCTAAACTTTGTACTCACTGTTTAGCACCTTCATCCTCACTATATAAGCATCTGTATTCTACATTAGCTTCAATCTTGTTGACATTCACACCAGCAGTACAAAATACAGCATGTTATTAAAAATCAAGGAGAAGAAAAAAAAATCAAGGACAAGCATTTTGATTACAGTGATTTCTAATTGCGATGTGGACTCTACCAATTTGGAAAATTACTGTAATGTAGCTGTAGTTATTTTTTAACATAGTTCTATACAAACAAACATAACTTGTATGTTTACAATAAAAGTAAACCTATTTAAATTATTTTTATTTTACTTTATTTTGTAAATTGATAATCAAAGTATTTTAAATTTATATGTATAATATTTTAGTCATAAACTGTGAATAAATGTGAATATTTACTAACTGAAAACGCTAACCTCATCCACCTGCCTCCCACCCATATAAGCATGATTACAAGCTAATGAAATTCCTATGCGATTTTCTCAGCATGCATAAAGGCTTTTAAATAATGTTCCAAGGTCTCTCTGATGATAATATAATCAATACCCTAATCATTGTAGGTTAATAAGATGTATTCTTTCCCTGACAAAACTGTGTACTCTATAATGACATTCAACAAACTTACCTACCTTGTCATCACACAGCAATTCCTTGTAACTGGTTACTTTAATGTAAATACTAAAATAAGGGCATTCAAAGGAAACACAGATTATTATTTAATGTATTATGTATCAGTATAAATTATATACGTAAAAAAGAATCTTAGGAAGCATCTTGTTTCCTAAATAACACCTTGCAAAAAAGATTTAAAACATAATTTAATTCAAGTCTGACCTTTCATTCCGTGGATCTGTTTTGATCTGTTTCCTTAGTAACAACTGGAATAGTAGGTACAACAGATTAGGGAAAAAATATATACATGTGTGTTTGTAGGTACATATATATATACACACATACTATATATATACCATATACCTACTATAGATACCATATATAGTGTGTGTGTGTGTGTGTGTGTATATATATATATATATATATATATATATATATGTGTACATAGAGAGAGAGAGAGAGCAAGCATAGTCTTTTATATATATTAGGTAGAGTTCATAACTCCAGCAAGTTAGGTATAATATTAAAGAGACTACAATGAAAGTGATTTGTTAAGTAGACTATCCAAAGAAAGAAAATGAATGAATGGAATTTCATCAGCATAACAGCTGACAGTGTAGCAGGATCAGTAGAGGAGATCAGAGAAATTTCAGCAGGACTTAGGAAGGTTCCAAATCCCTGAAAATATTCTGAGCCCTGCAGAGGAAGAATTTATAGAAAAGAAGGGACAGAGTAAATAGTTCTCATAAGCATTTTGAGTGAGAGATTTTTATAAAAGGTTAAAACACCCATGGAAAAAGAGATGAGTTTCAAGTTTTCTGGAGGCTTTGCAACACGTAAGGGGTTTGCCACAAAAATCTTCCCTGAAACCATATTGTAATGGTAGAAATGTTTTACTTCTTACCTACATTAGTCATTGAGGATTTGGTTATCAGAATCTTCTAGAAAGTAATATTTTTATTAACTTTTAGGGAAAAGAAGTCATTTATCTTTTAAAGGATGTTAAATTTGCTTCACCATGCAAATTGATAGATTCAGCCATGGAAACTTTCATTGATCTGATATAGTCAACAAAACAGTAGATGGTTTTCTTGTAAAACTGCCTTCCAACTTTGTTACAAATACATTTGTGGAAACACTTCTTGAATCCAGATGTAAAGATCTATAAGCAAACAAAATAAAAATGAGAGCTAACTCTCATTGCATGTACGTAAGTACAACTGGGAGTGGTCGGTTTTACATTTTCCCTTCTGAAATAGGTAGGGGCATTCACAATTTCTGTAATTCACAGATAACTTCACTATGTGGCGTGCATGTATTTAAAGATAAAACCATAAAATATCCACTGGCCTGCTAAAACTGTCAATTACAGCTTAAGAATCTGTCTAGACAGTATGAGAATTTGGTTTGGGATTGCTTTAGATTATCATGAAAAGTCTGCAACTTTGAAACCTAAATGCAGCTATTGTGATGAACCTTTTAGAAATGAGGATCTTTTTTTTCTTTCTTTCTTTCTTTTTTTTTTGGCTGTGCCACACAGCTTGCAGGTTCTCAGTTCCCCAAGTAGGGGTTGAACCTGTGCTATGGCAGTGAAAGCCCAGAATCCTAACCACTAGGCCACCAGGGAACTGCCTAGAAATAAGAATCTTTTAAAGATGAGTATTAGAGACACGAACGATCATTATATTTGGTCATTACCAAACCATTGTGGTTTCAAGGTGACCATGACCGTTATTGAGTTTCACAAATACTTTTCATTGTTGCCTGCATCTAGAATTTGGACAATGGCAGGCATGGTCTCTAATTGCCCTGTTAGTCATAACATTAGGCCAAACTGTGTCTTTGGCCAAACTTTGAAGCAACAGAAGTTTCTTTGTACCTTCCTATTCTTTGATCCCTTTTCCTCCTTCCCTAACCCTCCCTCCCAGTGCTTTGCCCCCTGTTTTTTCTACCCTACCACCCTATACCACCACTTCCAACTATCATTCTTTTTCTCATATTTAAATTTCACATAATTACTTTTTAAAAAAACTAATAATGTCTAGGTACCTGACTCTTTTGAGAGAAATTATATATTAAAAATACTTCTCGGGCTTCCCTGGTGGCGCAGTGGTTGAGAGTCCGCCTGCTGATGCAGGGGACGTGGGTTCGTGCCCCGGTCCGGGAAGGTCCCACATGCCGCGGAGCAGCTGGGCCCGTGAGCCATGGCCGCTGAGCCTGCGCGTCCGGAGCCTGTGCTCCACAACGGGAAAGGCCACAACAGTGACAGGCCCGCGTACCGCAAAAAAATAAAAAAAATAAAATAATAATAATAATTCTCAAAAGTATAACAACTTCAATATAAAAAAATTAAGTTATTGTTGGATCATCTACTACTCTTGCTCATAAGGCTAAACCAGGGATAGTGAAATTCTATATGAAGTCAGAAATGAATTTATTTGAGAGTAGCAAAGGAAGAGATTTCCCTGCCACATTTATCTTCCTCTTGACCATTTAGTCATTCTACTGCCAAGTACTCTTTTGGACCAAGCTGGCAGAGTAGGTTCTAGAAGTGGGAAGAGGGAGAGAGCTAACCTAGACCTGCCCTCCTACTCTTTTTAGCTGGCTAACAGAAGATGTCTTGGAAGGTCATTAGAGTCCGCATTTGTTGGCAACCAGCCCATCTTCCAGGCTCCCCTTTACTTCTTCTAATAAAACTCTGAATTTCCCAGTAGTGTGCTTTGGTCCCCCTCCTACCTAGCTCTAGAGGTGAGCCCTTAACTGACTTAAGCCATTTCGTCCTTTCTGGTCATAATGACTGTTTTATGATGGACAAGTAACCAAATGTGTTTGCTCTATCAGAGCAAACTCTTTACCAGACAGAAACAAGGATTATGAATTGCCAGGAGTTGTTGGCAGTCATCTTGGAAACACAAGGGTAAAGCCTGAATGAGAGTTAGGCTAACACCAAGGAAGTGGATCCAGCACTGTGAAAGGGCACACAGAAACTGTCTTATATCCGTACTTAATTCTAGACATGATATTTAAGCCCTGGTAAATAACCCTTGCCTGAAGCTTGATCTCCCCTTCATTGTTCCATTACAGGATTCAATAAGTTTCCTCTTATGTGTAAGCTAATTAGAGTCAGGTTTTCTAAAACATTTCTGTTAAGAATGCTCTCTAGTTAAGGCAGTATTTTTCCTGTCAAATGAAATAAATTTGGTCAACTAGTATCCAAGGTAGACACTAAATAGTGGGAAGAAATGGTATAAAGATCCATGTGCATAACAGTCATCATTAATATGCTCAGATTAAGGGAAAAGCTTAGACTCTAGTCTTTGGTCTACGAGAGAAGGTTGGGTAGTTGACATAAATATCCTCTCCTGCACCATCTGAAGGTTGATTGGCAGGGACAGGACTTCTGTAGTTGTTGGTTGCCTAGAAAGACAAACACAAAGGATGTTAATAATTCACTGCATTTCAGCACTTAATAAAGACACTCAAAACATAAATCTCTCCTTAGTTCAACCATGATACAGGTCGAATTTCTATTACAGTTAATTTCATAAAACATGCTCTTCACTGTATTGAACTTCTGTGAGAAATCACATTCTTGGTTTGTAGGGTGGTGAGCGAGATACAACAGAGACCTAGCCTTGATTATCACTTGATATATTGTGATATAAATTACCTGTTTAAATGTAAAACTCCCTCTCCTGATGTTAGGCTATTTCGAAGAGAACCATTATTTGTATTTTTTATATGGAAAGTCTAGTACAGTATTTTCCCATAGTGGATAATCATTAATTTCTGTTGAATGGAAAAATAAATATTTTTAAAGTACACAGTGTGCTGGCTTAAAAATAAGCAACTGAACACAATTAAAAAATTACCAGGGACTCCCCTGGTGGCACAGTGGTTAAGAATCTACCTGCCAATGGAGGGGAAACAGGTTTGAGCCCTGGCCCGGGAAGATCCCACATGCCGCGGAGCAACTAAGCCCATGAGCCACAACTACTGAGCCTGCGCTCTACAGCCCATGAGCCACAACTAATGAGCCCGCATACCACAACTACGGAAGCCCACATGCCTAGAGCCCGTGCTCTGCAACAAGAGAAGCCACCGCAATGAGAAGCCCGTGCACAACAACAAAGAATCGCCCCCGCTCGCTGCAACTAGAGAAAGCCCACAATGAAGACCCAACACAGCCAAAAATAAATAATAAAATAAAATAAATAAATTTTTTTAAAATTACAAAAATAAATGCACATTCACTTTCAAGATGATGTTATACAATCATTAATCTTCTCTACCTTAATTGGGTCACTTTGACCACCTGTATGTATGTGTGTGACAGAAAATACGTAAGCATAAGTGACAGAGGAGGAGAGAGAGCGGGGGCGGGGCAGAATTGAAGGGAGGAGAAGAGAAGGAGAGAGAGGGGTCTTTCGGTGAGTAGTCTGAAAATTTAGTGTGGTTTCAGTGTTTGCGAGGAGAAAGTAAAAGGAAAATTCAAGTGCTATTGTTTTCTACGTAGTTTGTCTAAAAACATACCCCGCAGAATCAAGTAGGTCTAACTTCACAGACCAGCTTACTGTCTAACTTTCTAATCACCATTCAAATTATCATTATTCTGCAAAAGCCTGGAAGAGTTGAATACCTAGTGAGGAAGTTGCAAAGCGCCTTTCCTCCTCTGAAATTCACAGCAATAAATGTGGCTTTGGATTGGCTTGAATGGACAACAGCTAAGGACAGAGAAGGGATCCGGAAATTGCATGTGACAGAACACGGTTTCCTCGCGTGCAGGCATGGCAGGTCAGACAAGGCCAGACTTCTCCAGCCTTCGCACTTGGTGCCCAAAAGCAAACCATGAGATATTCAGAAAAAAATTTTTTTTGTTTTGCAAAAAAGTAACTACCTAACAGAAAGAAGAAAGTTAGACTGATAGATTATTAAGAAGTTTGAAGCACACACATTGGATTGTCGGAAACTTTTTAGTACTTGAGGTTTGGGCCATGTAGCATTCAATGGCAAATAATTAAATTGAAGAGATATGGATGTAATTTTAGATAACACTCAGGGAAATGTTTTATTGTAAAATTTTGTAAACACAATAGTATGTGTTAAAGAGACTATCTGACCTATAGTGGAGACAATGAGCACGAAAATAAGTGTCCCTCTTATCTTCACACCCAGAAGGGAATTTCTCCTCTGTCAATTAAACATTAAGGGGCAAGGGCACGTAGAATAAGGAGGACAATGTCAAGTTCACTCGATTCCTGCAGCCCAACAAAAAGGTCTTTAGCTTTATAATCTGAACGTCCGTTAATTAATAAATTAATCCAAACATCGTAACAATAACGAATATCCTGCATTGCATCTTTCTACGTGCTTGCTATGCTTTTAGTTACATTTAATTTAATCCTCATAATAACCTCACGACATAAAAATATTATCATGCCCTGTACTGGGTCAGATATCATCCCCCCTAAATTTTTGTCCTTCCCAGACCTTCATTAATGTGACCTTATTTGGAAATAGGGTTGCTGCAGATGTAATTAGTTAAAATGAGGTCATACTGAAGTAAGGTAGGCTCTTAGCCCAATATGACTGGTTCCCTTATAAAAGGAGAAGAGATACAGACACAGACACACACACAGACACACAGACACACACACACACACACACACACACAGAAGGACGCCATGTGAAGACAGAGGAACAGACTGGAGTGATGTGTCTACAAGCCAAGGAATGCCAACAACCACCGGAAGCCAGGAGAGAAGCACAGAACAGAGTCTCGTCCCAAGAGGGAACTGATCCTGCTGAGACCTTGATTTTGGACTCTAACCCTCCAGAACTGTGAGAGACTAGATTTCTGTTGTTTCTAGTCACCCTCTTTGTGGTAATTTTGTTGCTGCAGCCCTAGGAAACTAATACAGATTTTGGTAATGTGCAATGTTGATTATTATTATCTAGTGTAATTGCTCCTTTATTTATGTGAATGTAAAACAAACAGTTTCAAAAGGTATTAATAATAGGAGACTAGTTCAGAAAATAACCATTTCATCAAATAGCTGATACTGGAAAAACAGGCAACTGCACTGGTTAGGTTATTGAAAGGAGAATAAAAAAGAAGATTGCTAACTGCAAATGGACTGACTTTACATTTATGATGCACAAAATGGGGCGGGGGGGGGATGACAATTCTGAGAAAACTTACCCTATTCTGTGTGTCCCAGTACTCTTTAAATAGGCCTCTTTTCTGTCTCCTTCTCCTTCTGGGAAAACATGTACAAGAGAGGTAATAAGAATGACACTCCAGCACCAGCATTATTTCAGACGCTCTATGATACCTCACCTGTACCCGCAGCCCACATGCCCTTAGTGATTATGTTAAAGCAGCTGTCCACAGCGGTTTTATACATACTCACCCAAAATTCCACTGTCCTAAATTTTTTCATTTTTCGTACCTTCTCCAGTGTGCTCACAGATGGTGAAGGCAACTAAACGGATATGCAGCCAGTTACTTAGTAATTAATCTCAGTGAGTTTACTAAAGAATGGTGCAGAGTGGGTTATTATTGATACATAAATGACTTAGAGATTTCCCACAATTAAAACTTCCTTTTAAATGCTAACAGTGCAACTTCTTGGATGACAATGACAATATAACTAAGCTTTATGGAATCTTCCGGGTGTTTTACTAAAGGACCTGTATGGATTACTTTATTCAGATTTCATCAAAAACTCTCTATTTAACGAACTGGGGAACTGAGGCACTGTGAGGAAGAGTAATTTGCCCCAAATCACATGGTTGGTTATCAGTAGAATCGGGATTTGAATTCACAGCCCTCCTTCCTGACTACCAGGCTCACTGCTTCTACAGTCACATTGCTGCAGCTGAAAACGGGCCATCCGAAACCATATATTCAATAAACTCTCCACAGTTTCAACAAAACTTATAAAAGCCTAACTTCAGGAGGAATCTTTGAAAAGAAAATACAAGAGAAGAGAGTAATGTAATTGAATGCAAAGATGAAATAACTATATCCAAGTGTATGGAAATTGTTATCATGGGGAGATGGTGACTATTTCTTTTCATCCCCCTACAGAAAAGATTCTTATTGAACCACAGAGGGGACGGGTCAAATACAAAAATGTAGAGTTTTTTTTTAAAGATGAGGTTATAATTACTTCACAGAAATTTTGAAAACCTGGCAAGATAGTCTCTCTCCATGGAAAGGTTGTTCAGATAATCAATGTTGACTCTGATGGTCTCTTCTAGTTGCTATGAAATCCTCCTACCATGTCAACAGAATCACAGACTATGTGCATTTATGTATTTACTTATTAAGTAGTATTTAAACAAATTATTTACTTACTTTATGTGTAAATTTACTATGTGCAAGTCATATTTCTAAGATCTTTTATATAAATTATTTATTCCTCATAAGAAATCTATGATACAGACACTATTATTATCCTCTTTTCGCAAGTGAGGAAACAGACACAGATTTATGACTTTTGATCCTTTGTTAAATTATCCTTCACAATCATAATATAGAGTTAACTTTCCCAAGTAGGTCCAAATATATATATATATATACATGTGTGTTATATATATAAACAAATATATTTTTTAACATCTTTATTCGAGTATAATTGCTTTACAATGGTGTGTTAGTTTCTGCTTTATAACAAAGTGAATCAGCTATATGTATACATATAATCCCCATATCTCCTCCCTCTTGCGTCTCCCTCCCACCCTCCCTATCCCACCCCAACAAATACACTTTTAACATAAGCTTAGCATATACAATGTGATGAGGAAAAGAGAAGATGATTTTTTTCTCCAGTTTTATTGAGATACAATTGATACAATACAGCACTGTGTAAGTTTAAGGTGTACAGCATAATAATCTGACTTACATATATGATGAAACAATTTCCACAGTAAGTTTGGTGAACATCCACCATCTCATATAGACACAAAAGTAAAGAAATAGAAAAAACATTTTCCTTGTGATGAGAACCCTTAGAATTTGCTCTCTTAACAACAGGCATACATAATGTAGAGCCATGTTAATTATATTTACCACGTCGTAGATTGCATGCCTAGCACTTACTTATCATACAACGAGAACACGAAGTTTAGCGTTGGATGATCTGCGTCTAACTTGTGCTCTGCAATTGACTAGTGATTTGCATCTCTAAAGGTCAGTCCTCTCACCTGCAGAATAAAGACAGTAAACATATTCCCGTCCTGGCTTGCTTGATTCTAAGGAGTTTCACTGGAATGAGGAATGATCAGCGCTGAAACCGGAAAAGTCCCAGGCAAACCAAGACACCCTATTTGCTGTGAACCTCGAAGCTGACAACATTTGCTCGCTAAATATTAAATTTCTTCCTACAGACTCAGGTGTCAATCCCTAGACTGTATCTCGGCTTCTGTCACGCTTACTGCTGCTATGCCTTCCCCTAGCCATGCTCACTGAATATGGTCACTATTCTGGTCTCTAACTGGAAATGACACCAACTGTGCTCCAGAGGCCTCGTGCTCACAGGCTCCCCGGTGCTGGGCGTGAAGGAAGAATTCAGTCTCCTTCAGGCACCCTGTGATGTATTTTGGCTTCTCTCTAGGTCAGCACATCTGAAGCTGAAGCGGCAGGATTATTTTAAACAGTTGCTAAGACAGAGTTCAGAAGGTCATTGTTTAGTCCCTTGGGTCATTTTTCAAGACGTTTCCATTCTAAGTAACGACCACAGATCAATACCAATGACAAGGTAGAAAGAACAAGTGCTTTTTGCTGTGTGGTGTTTGGCCATGGTTATGCATTCAAGTCCACTGATCTTCTTTTTATCACATTTAACCAAGCGGGACAAGATATTCTACAGTTCAATTTAGCTATTCATGTAAAATTGATGCATTTTCATGAAGCTAAATCCTTTCTGTCCAATATCTGTGACCCTCTCGAGGTCTGTCCTGTCACTCACTCTCTCCTAGCCATATTCCTTGTGTTCCCATGTGCTCCTGCTGTCGTATCTGCCCTCGGTGCATTTTTAATCAACCAAGGTGAAGCAGTAGAGAGATCCTCAGTGTCACTAACATCCTTACCTCAATTTGCTAATTTCTGACCAGGGAAAGACTAGAGGGCAGCCCATGATGGACAGAAAGGAACGACGACAGTTTCATGTTTCAATTTAATTAGACAAATGCTTATGGACCATCCTTATTTGGAAAGATTAGCGCTAAATGCTATCGAACACTAAAAAATGAGTAAAACCTAATCCCTGCCATTATGAATGGAAGGGAAGCCAAGCATGGAAGTGATTAAACTACAAAGCAGGCTGCGAGGTGTGGTGGTTAAGAAGTGCAACACGATTCTGGATGGTGACGTCATGTCTACTTGTAGGGAGGGAGAAGCAGGACAGCCCTCCTAGAGGGGACACGCATCCCACACCTTGAATGGTCTGCAGGACCAGATCATTCTAAGGCCAAATATGGGGGAAATCAGCATTTTGGTGTCATAACAAATGGGAAGAGTCAGGCGTGTTCACAGAATAAAAGCTGTAGTTTTAATACATTTTGTCAATATCAGGGGAGTAAGTAAAGTAGAAAATATGAATGAATATTAGGTTGGGGTCAGATTAATTGGGCTGGGGTCAGAACAAAGGGCACCTGTGCCACAAGGTTAATGAGCTTAGCATTATCCTGGTGCCAGTGGAAAGACAATAAACAGGTCTTAAACAGGGAGACGACGTGGCCAGTCTAGCTTTTAGAAGGGGAACCAGGAAAATAGCAGATGGGTTAGAAAGGGGGAGTACCGCTGAAATCAGGTGAGCAGTGAGGGGAGCCTTCGAAGAGGATATGATGACGAGATGGGGAAATCGATGGGAAACCCCATCAATAAGCACGCAGGACTGTGTGTGTGTGTGTGTGTGCGTGTGTGTGTGTGTGTGCACACGCGCATGCGTGAGTGGTAACATTACTGGGGGAGAAGAGTGGAGATGGATGTATTCCTTCACTCAACAAACATACAGTAAGTGCCTACCATGTGTCGGACATTCAAAACGTAGACATCAAAAGTTTGGTTCCTTCTTTCCTTAAGAATTTAATAACTTTAGTTGGATCACAAGTATAAGGAATGATTCCAACCCAATATGACTACAGCTAAGATTGCAACAAATACCTAGACTGGTGAGTTGATGAACATGGGGCAGCTAAGAAGGGAAGAGTTAACCAAGAACAGCCTAGAAAACTGCCAAGTGTGCCACAGGCGGTAAAAGGTAGGAAACTTCAGAAGAGGCCAATGGCCACCTGCTCTCTCTAGGGCAGCCCCTCCCAACTCCTTTCTTCTCAATGATTTGTAATAAAGGCACCTACACTGATTGTTTCAGAGAATATAGAACCATTTAAAATCACGTTGCTTGCTTATTAGAATATGCATGCCACTATATCTCAGTCACCACTGCCACAATAAATATTTAATGAATGAATGAATGAAGGCATTATTACTGTTCAACCCTGATTTTCTCTCAGAATCCATCTCTCTCTCTCTCTCTCTGTTACACACACGTACCTCCCCCTCACCTGACAGCCGTTTTCCTTTGCAGGAGGAGAGGAGAGACGGGGTAGCAGACAGAGCAGAGGCACCAGGCGGCTGGCTTTGTTAGTGCTGGGGTGCACTGCCCACTCCTACTAATTCCGAAATGAGTCATTCTAGCCTCCTCCTCCAACTTTTTTTTTTTTTTTTTTTTAACATCTTTATTGGAGTATAATTGCTTTACAATGGTATGTTAGTTTCAGCTTCACAACAAAATGAATCAGTTATATATATACATATATTCCCATATCTCTTCCCGCTTGCGTCTCCCTCCCTCCCACCCTCCCTATCCCACCCCTCCAGGCGGTCACAAAGCACTGAGCTGATCTCCCTGTGCTATGCGGCTGCTTCCCACTAGCTATCTACCTTACGTTTGGTAGTGTATATATGTCCATGCCTCTTTATCGCTTTGTCACCGTTTACACTTCCCCCTCCCCATAGCCTCAAGTCCATTCTCTAGTAAGTCTGTGTCTTTATTCCTGTTTCACCCCTAGGTTTTTCATGACATTTTTTTTTTAAATTCCATATATATGTGTTAGCATACGGTATTTGTCTCTCTCTTTCTGACTTACTTCACTCTGTATGACAGACTCTAGGTCTATCCACCTCATTACAAATAGCTCAATTTCGTCTCTTTTTATGGCTGAGTAATATTCCATTGTATATATGTGCCACATCTTCTTTATCCATTCATCCGATGATGGACACTTAGGTTGTTTCCATCTCTGGGCTATTGTAAATAGAGCTGCAATGAACATTTTGGTACATGACTCTTTTTGAATTATGGTTTTCTCAGGGTATATGCCCAGTAGTGGGATTGCTGGGTCATATGGTAGTTCTATTTGTAGCTTTTTAAGGAACCTCCATACTGTTCTCCACAGTGGCTGTATCAATTTACATTCCCACCAACAGTGTAAGAGGGTTCCCTTTTCTCCACACCCTCTCCAGCATTTATTGTTTCTAGATTTTTTGATGATGGCCATTCTGACTGGTGTGAGATGATATCTCATTGTAGTTTTGATTTGCATTTCTCTCATGATTAGTGATGTTGAGCATTCTCTCATGTGTTTGTTGGCACTCTGTATATCTTCTTTGGAGAAATGTCTATTTAGGTCTTCTGCCCATTTTTGGATTGGGTTGTTTGTTTTTTTGTTATTAAGCTGCATGAGCTGCTTATAAATTTTGGAGATCAATCCTTTGTCAGTTGCTTCATTTGCAAATATTTTCTCCCATTCTGAGGGTTGTCTTTTGGTCTTCTTTATGGTTTCCTTTGCTGCGCAAAAGCTTTTAAGTTTCATTAGGTCCCATTTGTTTACTCTTGTTTTTATTTCCATTACTCTAGGAGGTGGGTCAGAAAGAATCTTGCTGTGATTTATGTCATAGAGTGTTCTGCCTATGTTTTCCTCTAAGAGTTTGATAGTTTCTGGCCTTACATTTAGGTCTTTAATCCATTTTGAGCTTATTTTTGTGTATGGTGTTAGGGAGTGATCTAACTTCATACTTTTACATGTAGCTGTCCAGTTTTCCCAGCACCACTTATTGAATAGGCTGTCCTTTCTCCACGGTACATTTCTGCCTCCTTTGTCAAAGATAAGGTGACCATATGTGCGTGGGTTTATCTCTGGGCTTTCTATCCTGTTCCATTGATCTATCTTTCTGTTTTTGTGCCAGTACCATACCGTTTTGATAACTGTAGCTTTGTAGTATAGTCTGAAGTCTGGGAGCCTGATTCCTCCAGTTCCTTCTTTCGTTCTCAAGATTGCTTTGGCTATTCGGGGTCTTTTGTGTTTCCATACAAATTGCAAAATTTTTTGTTCTAGTTCTGTGAAAAATGCCAGTGGTAGTTTGATAGGGATTGCATTGAATCTATAGATTGCTTTCGGTAGTAGAGTCATTTTCACAATGTTGATTCTTCCTCCTCCAACTTTAACTCCTTCTCTGCTACGTACAAGAGCAGCGCTCAAAGTACACGGACTCAGTACCTGAGTCGTAAGACAGCTTGACCAACTACTGGGTTATTAATGGAGAAACTCCAGCATCAGAATTACTCAGGGAAAACTAGATCCAGGAGGAGCTGCAATACTCACCTCTTATAAGGAATGGCAATGACGGTGGTAATTAGGATAATCAACAGCAACAACAAAGCTGTCCCTGAGGCCACGAAGAGGATGGACTGGTTATTGGTTTTACCTAGGAGGAAACAAAGTTATAGGAGGAATTAGGAATTCAGCTAAAGCCAGAAAAGAAAGGGAAGTGGGAAAATTAGGAAAGGGTATATTAATCATCATAGGGTAACAATGTAAAACAAAGATTCCAATAAAAAATAGGCTGAGATAGGGGAAAAAGATTTTTCTTTCAGTCTCCTAAATACTTCTGACTCCTCACAGATTTTCACTGGTTCCTGGATCTAATGGTGGGTTTGACACCTTATTGAGACCAAGAATAGAAAGCATTCAAGACAGATATCACTTCATTCTAATGAGCTCCTGATCACATACACGAAATCTTTTGTAGGAAAAAAACACATCAAAATAGTATATAAATGAATATTACTTCTTAGTTCTATTGCATTAAGTACATCCAAGACACAACAGTATGTAACTCTGATGTTTATAAGTGGAATTTTGTTCAAGAAATATTGTCTACTCAATTACGGTTAATGATAAAAATAATCAGGAAAAGCATGTTACTTTTCCAACTCAGCGATTAACTGGAAAGGGCTATAGCCAGGGAATCTGAAATTCTCATCCTGGTTCTTTCACTGTTTAGCTGTTTGACCTCCAGCAAATTCCTAACCTTCTCTGCCAGCCTTCCTTCAACTGTCAAGTGATGACAACACTTCTAATTACATCACAGAGCTGTGATAAGAGGCTAATAAGGCAATATTCAAATATTTGCTCACCTCTGGAGCCAGATCCCATGAGGCCAGAGACCATTTCCTCTTTCAAATGTCCTCCTGCCCACTGCACACCTCACCCACCGCCACCCACAGAGCTCCTTACAAGAAGAAGAAACTCATCAGTATGTGTTGTTGATGGAAACAGGATTGAATTGAAACCGAGGCGCCCTCTTTTTTTTCTTCTTCTTCTTCTTTTGCGGTACGCGGGCCTCTCAGTGTTGCGGCCTCTCCCGTTGCGGAGCATAGGCTCCGGACGCGCAGGCTCAGCGGCCATGGCTCACGGGCCCAGCTGCTCCGCGGCATGTGGGATCTTCCCGTCCCGGGGCACGAACGCGTGTCCCCTGCATCGGCAGGCGGACTCTCAACCACTGCGCCACGAGGGAAGCCCCGAGGCGCCATCTTTATGGCCATCTCTATATCTTTAGGCAGCAAATTTCCCAGGAAATTTGTAGGAAAGGGGCAGCTATGGCAGAGAACAGCACAGCTTCCCTCTCTCTTGAAATAAAAGCTCGAACGCTTGTACCCTGACTCCCAGGCTATCTGGAATCCCACAGCAACCTGTAAACCATACTTTTCACAGCATTCTTCCCAATCCTTCACTCAGATGATTTCTTCCTTCCTGACCCACTATAGCTGAGATTTTTTTCATGATAAGAGCTCAAAGTCTATTCCACTCATTCTTTTGCAAGCTTTACTGCAAAAAGAAACTAAGTCAAAAAATAAACATTATTCTTATGTTTTAAATTTGTTAACCTGTAAGGTGAATAAAGATAGAAAAAATATATGAACACTTTTAAAGACCTTGTATGTAGTGTCTAAGACAGGGTTTTGTCCAAATACGATGGGGAGAAGGAAAGCGAAACTTATTCAGAAAAAAAAATACATTGAGCAACAACAAAAAAATACATTGAACCACCACTGCAAATGGAACAAGGATATTTTTTCCCCGTCAAATATGAAATTAATGTTTTTAAGCTCTTGGCACATTATTAAAAGCAAACAAAATACCTGAAAGTATTTGCATTATAACACAGGCCTATAAAAGGACCGCAGTTGCTATGCTGACATAATTTGAATACAGTAGATGCTAAGGTTAAATTAAATAGGCATGGTGGAAAAAAATGAAAGTTATGATCAAAAAATTCATTGACAGTATTTTGGGAAAATTATTTACCTGTTTTTTGAAATTTAGATCTTAATTACAGTAAAAAATTACAGTAAAAAAAAGCCAGTCTGGGTGGACTACAGAGATCTAAATGTTTAAATGTAAACATGAGAAGAAACTATAAGTGAGTATTATTTAATCTCTGTAATGAGAAACGACTTTCCAATTTATACAAATAAGCAAACACATAGGATTGACTGGGTCAAAATGAAAAATATCTGTAGGTCAAAATCATCACAGGTAAAGGCAAAAAATTAGTATCTTTAACATACCTTTGCTGTCAAGAAAAACCTATGTTAAGAGAATAAGTAAGATAAAAAACAACTTATTAACCAAAAGTGCTTAAAGACAAGTTTGCATGAAAGGAAGAAGGTGGCAAGATGGACGACCTCAGGCTCCATTTGGGGAGAGAAATCTGCTGCAACCTGCCTCTGGGAAGAAATCGCTCTCTGTGCGTCAGACCTTTTCACGAGCTTCTTGTACATTTGATTAATTACTTTTTTCCTAAAGAAATGCTCAGAAATGTGAACAAAGAGTTTTGTGGAACATTTATAAGAGCAAAAAGAAAATCCTTCTTTCCCAGCAGCACTCGAAAGTAAGACGACACAGCTGAGGGTCTCAAATGTAATTAGAATCACAGGGCAGGGGGATGGGGGGAGGCTCGTTAAACCACAGATGGCTGAACTCCCCCCTCAGAATTTCTGACTCAGGAGGTTTGTGTGGGTCCCAGAATTTGCAGCTCCTGTGTGATGCTGGTCTGGGGCCACCTCCTAGAGAATCACAGCTATAGACATTAGGATCATGGGTGTAAAGAATCCCAATGAAATGGAAAACTGCTGACTCCAGATAGAAAGTTAGGTAAAATTTCAAAGCCAGAATTCACAGTTGTGCATGCTAGGATACCTCAATCAAGTATAGAGCTTAGGAGGAAAAAGCCTGCCAGGCAGCAACATGCCAAAAGTTCAAAGTGACGATCTTCAGGGAATAGAATTAAAAGCAATTGTTTCTTTAAGCTTTTTGCTATTTTCCAGATGTACTAAATGATGTATTGTTTTTAATAATCAGAAAAAATAGTACAAAAATTTAAAGGTCTGCATGCTTAAAGCAGAATACTCTGCCAGTTTTTCGTGGTTATATTTAAAGTGCAGGATGTAGAGAGCATCTCTGCAGAAGTGTACTCAGAATCCTTAAGAATTAAGATGGCATTCTTTGCTAAGCTCTCAGTTATATGAATTAAGTAGAAACCACTGAAAAGTATCTTCATTTGTTTCACACTGCTCACTTATAAAATCTAAATTTCAGATGCATTCCTTAATGTGACATATGTTGCCTCTTTTTAACCTCTTCTAGCAATGGGTGACCTGCTGGACTCAGATCCATCTTCTTCACTCATCTTTTAACACATAGTGTTGAGGCAGACTGTGTACCTGGCATTAGAGATGAAATGGTGGGCACCGAAAAAAAGCATGGGAGTCTGGTAGAGATTCACTCACAATCCAGAGTATGCCAGCCTATAGCCAATCCTACTTGTTACCTCCTTCTCAGCTTCCCACCCCTCTGCTGCGTTATTGTGAACCAGCAGTACTTGGACCAGGCTGGTGTAAGCACCCAACTTGCTGGGCCCTGTACGGCTAAAACCAAAAAAAAATGGAAAAGCAAATGGGTGTGGGTGCTTTAGGGAGTTAATCAATAGTTCCTAACCTTCACTTTTTCCTAAATTCTTTTAACAGATCTTAGCTTGAGTGACGTCAGCCCTCAAGCCCCTCTCTTAAAGAAAGAATTACTGTCTCTTCTCGGCAGCCATTTTTTTGCCGATTTCTTTTTCAACCTTCATCCCAATGCGGTGTTGGTTCATAGGAGGACAAAAGTGTCGTGAACCATAAAGCCATTATTTTCCCTCCCATCAAGAAAGATAAATAGGACTCCCCTGGTGGCACAGTGGTTAAGAATCCACCTGCCAATGCAGGGGACATGGGTTCGAGTCCTGGTCCGGGAAGATCCCACATGCCATGAAGCAACAAAGCCCGTGCACAACTACTGAGCCCGTGCTCTAGAGCCTGCGAGCCACAACTACTGAGCCCACGTGCCACAACTCCTGGAGCCCGTGCGCCTAGAGCCCGTGCTCCGCAACAAGAGAAGCCACCGCAATAAGAAGCCCGCGCACCGCAAGGAAGAGTAGCCCCCGCTCGCTGCAACTAGAGAAAGCCTGTGTGCAGCAACGAAGACCAAATGCAGCCAAAAATAAATACATAAAATAAATAAATTTATTTTAAAAAAGGAAAGAAAGGTAAATACAGTTAAAACAATTTAAAGCACATCAATGAGATATATAAATGAGTAACTTACTCGAGGACTGCAAACCTCCAGGCTACGTTTCTGCCAATGACAAGTATTTACAGCTGAGTTATAAACCCTTAGAAAGGCTTGGGATATAAATGCTTCCAGGTCCTTGCCTCAGAGCCAGGCGGGTAAGAGCAGGCATTGATGTTTACTATTTATCTTTTATTAGAGTCTGGGGTGGGGTTAGGGACTGGGGAAACCAAGCAACTTAGAACCTACATATCTGGACCAAAAAACATGCTGAGAAAAACTCAGAGATCCTGACCCTCTACCCAGCCCTGGGCAGTCATGGTAGATACCAGTAAAAGTTATTCTTGCTGTCTTACCTCATTAAAAAGAAGAGAAATATTTGATTTCGCTCTATGTACAGATGGGATACACACTGTGTATGTTCCCACAGGATAGATGTGTGTTAGGTGACAGACTCAGCACTATCAGGTTGATTCCAATTTTTGACTCACTGTATAATGCAAATATCCAATCTTCGTCCCACATTAGACACTGATTTGCTGAAAAAAATAGATGGAGGAGGGAAGCCTTCAGTTCTAAGTCCTATCTTCTAATTCTTTTCCCTGGAAGACCCCGGCGTAAGATCACTTGATCTTCTGGACACTTTTTTGGCAACTGCAAAATGATGATGCAATCAATCTAAGGGTGGCCATGGGAGTGGCTCTAGACAAAACATGTAGGGGGGCTTTATTTACATATTTAAGCACCACGTAATGTCAGCTGTTAAGAGTGAACTTAGGTTTTGTCGCACACATTCAAAATTAGAGTTAAATAACT